CACATGAAAAGCGTAATTTTCCCTATCGTTATGTTCGATATTGAATTGCGAAAATATTCGATCCTTTATAAGAGTTGGATCTTCAAGGCCGGTTACATCGACCACATAAAAGGTTGTCATATTATCGGTTACTTGCAAGATGATATTTTTTTGTATGAACTTGCCTTCACAAAACGGTAAGCTTTCTGACTGTCAATAATAATAATGAGTCAATTTTAATGTGCCCTTATTATTATCAGGAAATTCTATAGGATTAATTAAAGATGCATACAGAGTCGCTTCGGGCCCTAGTGTGATTACTACTAATATCTTTACCAATCGATTTTTTATTAACGGGAGATCTCGGACTCGAATGCTTGGATCGTGGTTGTTGTTGATTACCATTGACAAGCCCGTTGTCTGTGTTTTGAGGCGCATTAGGTTGAGCATCGTGATCAATTGTTTGCGAAGCAGCCAAGTTCGAAGAAAGATTCTTATCCCAGCCAATTGAAGACGTTCTCGGTTTGATTACAGGACCGGAATTACGCAATTCAGGGAAACTGCTAGACGACTTTAGAGTTCTACTTTGTGTTGATATTGGGTATATGGATGCAATTGGATGTGTTAGTGATAAAATCGAATGATTCTGTTGTGTCGTGGGAGAATTCTGTCCAACCACTAAGGAAGTGGTAGAGGCTGATAAAGGTATTGGACTTTTCTCGTTGTCAACAGGAGAAGCTCCGCTCGTGGTTTGAACGTTCTTTAAAAATTGTAAGCGGTAAGTACAAATAGCACATACACAATGTATATTGTTCAAAAAAAATAATAATCCAAACCCTTTCAGAAAGTGAGTGCCGTTTTGGCCTGGCATCGCCAATTTTCCTGATGGCAGTTATCAATCTATATCGATCACCTTCGTTATGACCTTTTAATATATCTCTAGTTTTCCTCAAATCACAAAGAGCAAAAAATTGTTCCCCACATATATTTTGTTCTATAGAGTGAAAAAAAAAAAAAAAGTGTGAAAAACGAGGTGTATGCATAGGTATGAAATGGATTGTTTGCAAAAATGAAAAATTTTCAGGCGACTGTGATAAGAAAGCTCTTTTGAGGGCGATACCTTCAAATATTGACCTAAAGCTACCGAATGAATTGTCATCAAGCCATCGCAATACTTTTTCGAGAGACCAAGCGGAGTGTTCAATTTCTCCATCTATTGACGCGGATCTACTCCGATCATGTGTATGTCCGGCAATATGATCTCTACGAATTAAAGAAGCCGCAACGGCACTAGTCGGGCTATCAGTTGGTGTCGAAGCATCGGCTTTGTCATACTGAGCGGATTTCGATTGTTGCGAATTTTGCTCCAATTGATTGTCAGTTGCCGAGAGGCCACCTAAAGAGTGTACACTAGACGCAGAGGATGATCGCGAACGGACTTCAAGTGTAGAGTAACGACCGTTGGGAGTCCCATAGCCTGTGAACGTTGGCGATGCCGGCAGACTGTTGCTGTTGGAGGCAGGAGAATCTTGTTCAGTTGAAGGTCGTCTTATCCCCACACTCGGAGTTACGTTTGTGTCTACCACTGGACGCCGCTGGTTGTTAACCGACAACATGTTGAGACATGAGAATCTACTAGCGTCTTTTCTTATCACTTGTGTGTATTACATGTACCAAACGTAAATTATATATATTCTCACGTGATATCAAATAAGGTAATTGTGGGTTCCACGAAGGAATGGTGAATGTATGGACGTATCGGAATGAACCCCTTGATTCTTGTAAAAAATGGACCCGTTAGTTGAAAGCCTATTAAAATCTTCGTTGGAAGAAGAGTCAGACAGATCACCGAATGCATCCGATTTTTCAGATGCCGAGGAAAACTCCGCTGAAGTAATTTCAACTCGCAGGTTTTTTTAAGCAGGAGGCGTTTGAGCTTAAGCTAAAGTTCATTTCCTTTTTTCTTTCAAACACTACATACGTTTTGAATTCGCGTGCCCAGTCAGTTTCACAGGATAAGGTGCCAGAGATTCCATTACATGGCGGGCGACAAACAGGTCCAAAGGGAGTCTTGGCAGATCATGCATATCACAAACAACAGGTTCAAAAACAAAAAGTAGCCTCACTGGCTGCCCACAATGAACGTTTGCTATCGAAAGCCTTAATGACAACAACATTTCGTGAAGATGAATTAACGAGATCCCAAGAAGAGGAATTGTTTAAAGAGTTAGAAAATATGAGTTCCGACGAAGAGGAAAAGCAAGTGCTAAAAAAATATCGTGAGCAAAGAATGAAGGAGATCAAAGAAAAAGCGATAAAGAGGTTAGGTGGGACCAGCGGTAAGAAAAGATTCGGATCTCTAAGAGAGATATCTTCAAGTCAGTACGTTAAAGCCATAGACGACGAAGCACCGAATGTTCCAGTGATTGTGCATTTATACGAAAACGTGAGGTTCGACTTTCGATATATATATTATTGACCTTCTAAATGAAAATATCTCTAATAGATTTTATTATTTGATATACCGAGACAGTCGATTTCTCAATGCAGATTACTAAACGATTGTTTGGCTCAGTTGGCAAGAAAATTTGGTTACGCTAAATTTCTTCGGATTTTAGCGCACGATTTAGAATTTGATTCAGTGGGTTTGCCAGCGGTATTGGTTTATAAGAATGGCGAGTTAATCGTAAATCTGGTTAGAATAACCGAAGAAATTGGGGAGAACGATTTCAATATTGAGATTGTCGAAGATGTTTTAATTAGGTTTGTGGAAGGACGACTTATTTATTTTATTGTTTTTTTGTTTTTTTTGTTGAAAAAGGTCAAACTTCCATCGACTTTTAGATCTGGAGCGCTGGATCCAAATGAAGATGTTGATAAATGAGAAAATCCAAGAAAGTGTGACGACAACTATTGATATTTATTCTATCTAATTTAATCAAATATGAATAGCCCAACGAACGACCACTGAATATGTAAGGACACTTTAATATAATAAATAAAGTTTCTTTACGTAGATCAGGTTTAAGTCACAATTAGCGATCGGTTGCACACACACACGACTTTAATGAACGTTTTATCACAGCCCAAATTACATCGGATAGGGCCTAAAGAAGAATTGCTACACGGGCGGAGTGGATTTGTGGTCTAAAATTGTAGGGTCCAGAAACCTCCCAATTTGAAGGCTATAGCTTAATAATGATATAATTAATCAGGGTTTAATCAGGAATTTATTTATATAAAGGTTATATTATTATTTAATTGTGATTAAAGTTTTGGTGATACAATACGGTGTTTGTGTATTGTGTAATATCGTTTGTTAAAATTTGGAAAATTTGTAAATTACACCGAAC